AGGCAATGACAGTCCTGATGGTTATCATTTTAACCACAGGAAAAAATGTTTCTTGATAGTCCAACCCCTCTTGTTGACTGTAACCTTTAGCAACTAATCTAGTTTTGTACCTCTCTATTGTTCCATATGATCTATGTTTGATTTTGTATACCCACTTGCAACCAATGAGAACCTTGCCTTTAGGAATAGGAACCACCTCCCATGTGTTGTTACTGACTAGTGTATCAATTTCAGCTTGCATAACATCTATCCACTTCTCATCCTTCATTGCCTGATGGTATGATGCAGGTTCAACATCTGTTGTCATTGCAGTAAGGTAACCTTGATAAGCATTACTTAGTGAGTCATACCCCATGTAGTTGGACAGAGGATATTGACAGGTAGAAGAGGAAGGTTTCATAGTTGGACATATGTAATCTTTGGTCCATACTGGTGGTTTGGACCCTCTGCTGGTTCTTCTGAGCTGCATATGTGATGTTTCCTCATGTGCTATCTCAGTAGTTTGGATCTCCTCAGCATCATTGCTAGATAAGTCATCCAACTGTGGTATTGTAGCATCATGTTCAGCATGTAGTTGATCTAGTTCCTGATTAGGAGTCTGTATTTCCTGAGTAGAGGTATGTTGTTGTGGAGTTGCATGTTGTTCTGTTGCATAACGTTTGTTTGCTTTAAAAAATAATGGAGGTACTTTTCCTTCTTTCATCATTAGGAATGGAAAAACATCCTCTCTAAATGTAACATCTCTGCTTATAAAGAACTTCTTGTCCTTGAGACTGTATAATCTGTATCCCTTTGAGATGTGGAATATCCCATATGGACAGCTGTTACTGCCTTAGGCAGAAGTTTATCATGCTGTCTGGTAATTGTAGCAAAACAAAGACACCCAATGACTCTTAAGTGCAGTAGTGAAGGTGGTGATTTGTGAAAAACCTCATATGGTGATTTGCCACTTAGTACAGAAGATTGAAATCTATTTATCAGATACACAGTTGCTAGGACACAGTCTCCCCAGAAATGTAGTAGTATACCACCTTGGAACTTTAGTGTGCCCTTGCCACCTCTAAGATATGTCTATGTCTCCTTTACACCACTCCATTTTGTTGTGGAGTGTGTGGAAAACTACTTTGATGTAGTATCCCATTATCTGATAAAAAGGCTGTACATTCAGAACTAAAAAACTCAGCTCCACTATCAGTTCTAAGACATTTAGCATTGTGGTTAAACTGCACATTTACCATCTTGATAAAAGACTTTAGAATCACAAGAGTATCATTTTTCAATTTCATTAAGAGCACCCAAATCATCTTAGAGTGATCATCTACAAGTGTCAAAAAATATCTATTTCTATTAGAGGTAGGTACTTTGTAAGGTCCCCAGATATCTATATGTACTAACTGAAAAATTACTCCTGCTCTAGTTGTACTGAGGGGAAAAGGTTTCCTAGTTTGTCTTGCTAATGGACATATAGTGCATGTATTGAAGTTGCAATCTACAGGCACCTTGTTCTTTATGAATGGCAGCTGCCTCATCACTCTTGCTGGTACATATCCTAGCCTTCTATGCCATACATTGTTGTCTGATGTATCATTTTCTGCCAAACAACCTCTAATCTGGTGTTTGAGCTTATTTACACTTGATCCATATGGTAATAGCAAGTAAAGGCCACCCTTTTCTTTACCAATCCCCCTCACTTTCCCAGTGCATAGGTCCTGGAATACACAGAATGATGGAAAGAAAAGTGCTGAGCAAAACAACTCCTTAGTCAATTTTGATACTGATAGTAAGTTGTACTTGAAGTCAGGCACATACAAAATATTCTGAATTGATTCACCACCTGTGATTTTACACTTTCCTTGGTACATAACTGGTACTGTTTTACCATTTGGCATATGAACATTACCTCTTTTGGTGTTAGGCAATTTAGTTATGTCATTCAGCAGGTTAATGTTTGAAGTCATGTGGTTTGTTGCTCCAGTATCAATGATCCAAGAAGTATCACACGTTTGAGTCAGTTGAGAATCAGTATTACCTGCCATATTAGCTGCAAATTTTTCTCCTTTGTCCTGATTCAATAGCTTTATTATCTGGTTGTACTGCTCATCAATGAAGTACTTGTGCATTCCTTGTCTTGCCAAATTAGAATCTGCAGTTGTGGCGGCTTGGAGCACATCATCCTTGGTATGAAATCCATCACTTATGGCTGCATTAGCTTATCGATATTCCTGCTTCTTCTTTCCCTTGAAACTAGGTGGATAGCCCACTAATTTGTAACAAGTATCCTTAGTGTGACCCTTGGTTCTGCAATACTCACAATATAGATTTCCATACCTTTTGAACTTCTGTGAATTATCTCTTGAACTCATTAAGGCAGTAGAATCATTCACCTCATTCATAGGTGTATTGGTCATATGGACCTTCCTTTGATTCTCTTCATTAATCAACATAGCATAAGCACGACTCACATTTTGTGATGGTGACATGAGCAACATTGACTTCTAATGGCACTAAAGCTATCGTTTAATCCCATCAAAAAATTGAAAAGAATTCTGTTGTTCTAGATGTGTTATGAATTCTCTTGTTTTAGGAATCACAGGCAGAGTTGGAATAAGTGCACTATACTCATCCCACAACAGCTTAAGTCTAGAATGATAAGCAGAGATACTGGAAGTACCTTGAGAAATTGTAGCAATTTCTCGTTGAAGATTATAGATCCTTGATCCATTGATCTTGTCAAAACGATCCTGCAAATCAGTCCAAACTTCATGAGCATTGCTGGCATAAACTATCCCGTTTACCAGCTCCGTCGAGACATTGTTCATGATCCAAGTCAAAACTGTAGCATTAACACGTTCCCAGTCCTCGCCTAGATCAGCAGTGAATTGATCCTTAGTGCATGTACCATCTATGAACCCTAGTTTTCTCTTAGCTCTCAACGCAATCTTCATTGCTCTGCTCCAGACCGAATAATTCTTGCTCCCAGTCAAATGAACGAAAATTATCACATTTCCCGGCGCATCTGAAGGTTGTAGATACAATGGATGTCGCGGATTGTCAATGTTCATCTCAGCCATTATCGGTCTGCTCAGAAATTAGGAATTTTGAAGAAGACGAAGAACAATCGAAAAAATTTCTCAACAATTTCACAGAACAACTCTTAAAGCTAGATCTTCACAGCTCCAATCGATTCTCTTAGCTCTGATACCATGTTAAATCCACCATTATTGATAGGTGGTTGAGCTCAACTAAGAAGAAAGAAAATGAGGACTGTGAGTGGAAGCTTCTGGATCAGTTGTAATTTTTGTGTATTGAGAGAAAACTTATCTCGTTACAAAATGAAGTCCCTACCTCACTGATATATACATGTGTGTATATATATACAACTAACTATATCCTTTTAATTATCACTAACAACCTTCCTAATTTCGTTATAACTAACTATTAGTAACTAACTACCAATGAGCTAAAATCACCGTTTGTCACCTAACAGATAGCCTTAGTTTCCAGTTGTCATTGCAGCACTTCAACAATTTATTATGTTTTTTATTTGTTTAATCTAATGTCATTAATCATTTGTATTGAATTAATATGCATATCCTTAAAACCACAAATAAATTCAACTGTTATCCATTTTTTTTTAGGGCAAACAAGCTTAAGAGGTCACAAGATTTAGTTTCTTTCCCCAACCCCTTGGATCAAACCTAGTTTTAAACTCCTGATCAAATCATTGTGGAATATCAGAAGATCTTGAGACTAAATTATGTTGGTGGGGGCACTTACCTTAAAGTAAAACTCCCAACTGCTAGGCAACATGTTTTTCGTATAAACAAAGAAAAACTCAAAGATCAAAAGAATTTGGCCCCTCCAATGTTATGCATCAATGACACATCACCTCCTATCATTTCGATTTTGGTAGATTGCCATCATTGCTCAAAGGACAAAATCATTTGAATCATCCGACGTCTTTTTCCTATCATCTCATCTTAGTGGAGTTGGAACCAAAAATTTCAGATGAACGGGTAATTTATTAGCATGTACATAACTTAGGTGTTTAATGAGTTCTGTAAAAATATGAGATTTTAAAACTTCAGTGCCTTCTAAAGAAAATTAAGCATACGTAAATTGTAGAGAAATCAGTTTTCTGCGGTAAATGTAAATCCTTCTGTATGGTCGTGTAACTTGTGTAAGAAAATATATTTGGTCTAGCAGTTGGGAGGTAGGCAGTTCAGATTATAGCCTAACGAACTAAGTTTTTGAATGTACAATTTAGTCCCAATTTCTTGAATTGTTTTCAAACAAACCCGCGTTACGGGAGATTAGAATTAGTTAAGCAGCTAGTTTATTTTGTTGCTGATGACTTTTGCCTTGTTAAATATTGATCCTAGTAATGATTAATTCAGAAAGAAAATCAAATTAAATCAAATACCTTTGCTTTAATTTTATTTTTTCCCCTCTATAAAAGAACTCAACATTGGAGTTCATACATTGAGTTAAGAGCATTTTGCCTCTCTAATGTTTAACATCCAACTACTTCCATTTCTATTTGTATGTTAAATTCCTCACCATGATGATTAAAAAAAAAAAAAAAAGAGGAAATAGAGGAGACTTGCTTGGATTTCCTTTTTGGCAGGGTTGGCGTGGGGTTGAAGATGGAAGGTAGCAGGTCTATTCAGTTGCTAAGGTGATTCTAATCGTTTGAAGTTACTGTTAAATCAATAATTTATACATATTCAATGAAAATTTTAAAACAAATACAGGGTTCGAATCAAAGCTACTGGGTTCGGCCGAACCCGCTCCCGGCTCTCTAACTCCGACCCTGGCTAAGGTGTGTTATTTGATAACGCTTCACACAAAAAATCATATATATATATGCGTAAATAATAGTACTTTCCTAAAATACTATATGCATACATATTAGGTGTACACAACTTGAAAATAACACAGTAAATATGAATTTGGGACAAGAAATGAAGCCTTAAAATCCACCCACTGACAAGCAGAAATTCGACAATAAACCGACACTGCTAATGCATCCATATATTAAGATTTAAGGATCTAAGGTTACAGGCACAATAAAGAGAATTTATTAAGCCAATGGAATGGTAAACAAGGCTTTACACTCGGAAGCCACAAAAACTCATCTCAGCTTTCAGCTGTCTTTTCTGACCCTACTTACATTTTTCTGATTATCCTCATCTGTACAATCCTCTTAAGTGGTATGCCATCCAACATTTGAAGAATAGAAGAATTACAATAAGACTTGACACCAATATGCTGCTGCTAATGCCATGCATTATCAAATAGGATCTGTAGCTTCGTCGTAAACCAGCTGTATCAGCATTTAACAGATCATCTATTGCCACCATTCAATCAAGCAACAAGACTTTGATTCTTCGATTTACTAGTCTGAAGGCTAGATGAAGCATTGGATAAATTCATAAAGGAAGGTTATATTCTAAGCTTTCTGAAATGTACGCGAAGAAACTCCATGCAGAAGCCTGACAAATCCCAAGAAACTGAGCTTCCCATCAGAATGCCTTATCCAGTCCTGCAGGACTACATGAACTGGAACTGAAGGACTAAGCCCGAGCTCCTGTTTGAAGAAACCGGATAGGAAAAATTAGCAAGCTAGAAGCTGAGAATTAAAGATTTTTTCCGCAATTTTGCAATATGTCAGTTGACAAATTTCAGAAATCGATTTAGGCAAGTTTAGTCCTGCCACCACCATATTCCTATATGTTTTTAATTTCTTACCACGTAATAAATGATGATTTAACTTATATAAAAAGCTCAATCTTTGTATCTATTACACATTTTCTTTTACCTTAGAAGTAGAACAGCTCGTATCTTTGAACCAAAAAATGAACTCTGTACGTGTCAACTTGTTCTGTTTTACTTGACAATGTCATAAGCAAATAATAATAATGCACGTTGGAAATTATTACTCCCTCCTTTATGATATAAGTTCTATTGATGGAGTCAGATACTTGCCCACCCCTATTTATAAAGATTACTATTAGAATCACGATGAGAAAGGGGGAAGGGGGGAAATTGTACCGAGGCGAGTTCTTCTATCATAATAGGCCTGTTCCCTTCCTTTTCGAAGAACTCATAGCCACGACGAGCATGTTGCTCCCAGCTTTCCATTCCCTCAAGCTGATGTACACCTATCGCAGCAGCACAGAATTCTTCAAAATCCAACTTTCTGTATTGAAGAGAACTCACCTGCTCGGGGCATGAAAAAAGTCAGTGAATAAAATTCGTCATTACATCATTACGTCCATCAGGATTTTTCGCATAAATTTCATAACTTCAACAAGATAAAATCAAAGGAGCTTCCTAAGCTTACCGTATTGACAAAGTCGAAAACCCTTGAGTCCTTCATTGCATCGGTGGCATTCTTCATCACAGCCTGCCAAGTCATTGAACTCATTTCAGAAGTGGAGAATCGTAAATAAAGAAAGAGTACATTGAAAGAAAAATAGAAAATCAGTCAACATTCTTTTTAGTTTCTTTTTATTTTTCAGTAATGATGATGGTTGAGGATAGAGCTACAAGTCCACTTTTGCTTACCATTTTGAAGTTTGATAGAGCTACAAGTCCACTTTTGCTTGGCCCTAATAATGTAAACTGATCCCGAAGATAAGCTAGCTGTTGTATAGTCAATGTCTTAGCAAGAGCCTGTTACAGTAGCCACAAACGATAAATCATACAGCTAACTAATTGAGGGGCTAACATTTTTTTAGTAAGTCAAAATACTATCATTCATATTGCTCCAAGATTGTGTCACTGTACAATATGGATAATCTACAGACTAGCATCTTGCATGAGGGTGCTTATGGCATTTGCATTCTTTGCTATTTATATACTATAATCTCTCAGTAACAGGACAAATCTGTTTCTGTACATATTTACAGGATCACAGAAACGATGAACAGGTTATATTAGAACCTTGCTGATCACATCATGCTCCCTTAGCTATTTGGTGCGGGGGCGATGGAAAGAGATTGAAGAAATATAACAGGAACTAAACATAAAAGAACTTATATCACCTTAACATGCCTAAAAAAGCATGGCACTACTTACAGAAGTGCTCATATTAGATTTTTTGGCTAAATTATATGACTGCTGAACTTAGAAGACAAGTTCCACCAGAACAGATATACATACCCTTAAAGCAGCTTTTCGAAGAGAAGACGAATATACATAAGCTTTTGCAAGCTTATATACTATCATATCCAAAGGAATCTTCACATCATGATAACCAGCCAACCAAGGATGACCTAGACAAGTAATGAGACAGGTTAAGAAATCAATAATACAGCTAAAATCTGATAAATTACTAAGATAATAAACATGAAACCACATAGGTAAATTGGTTATGTCAAGAAGTTAGTATAGCTTCATCTATGGCGGCGAAGAGTTCTTGTCTAGAGTTCTTCTCGAGACAAGACTTGACAAGGACATTAAGGAACTTGAAACTGGTAGAGGTATATCCTTACTCCACTATTATAAGGTCTACTACAGGATGCTGAGAGGATACATCCAAATATGATATTGTACAAAGAGACTTACTGAGAGCCTGAGCTGCAGTTAGCCTTTTGCGGTAATCCTTATTCAGCAATCTTTTTACAAAGTCTACTGCATCAGAAGACAAAGAGGGCCAAGGGGCTTCTTCAAAGTTTGGATCAGTTTTCAGGATGGCCCTAAATATACCAGACTCTGTTCGCGCCCAGAAAGGTCTGCTTCCACAGAGAAGAATATAGGCAATTACACCAATGCTCCACATGTCCGCTTCTGTTCCATAAGATCTATGCAAAACCTCAGGAGCAACATAGTATGCACTTCCAACAATATCATTAAGCCTTTCATCTGCAAATATTTCCATCAGTCAACCATGGCATGCTACAATAACAGAATAAGAAATGATAAAAGCGTTGTATGCATTAACATTACCTGGTTTTACGTAATCAGAAAGACCAAAGTCAATGGCCTTTAAAGGAGAGTTCTCATCCTTAGAAACAAAAAGGAAGTTCTGAATAAAACACAAGAACAGCTGTCAATATAATGAGCTCGGAAACCAAAGAAATAAAAAGAGCATACGCTGTAGAGAGTGAGGGAGGAAAGAGATGGCACTACAGTTGTTTCACCTATATGGTGAGATTAGAAGAAACCCTAAACATTTCCAGCAGATACTGTAAGAACAAATGCAGAGCATAACTAAGCAGTTTGATTTGGTTGAGCTGATTTGACTCTCTCAATACTTTGCAGGGGCTTATACAAAATTATGATTGGGTTATCAGCATTCATCATGTGATATTATGTTACCGAAAATTCCCATGAATGTTCTTTTAGTCACCTAATTAGTTGAGAAGGATCCTAGATATCCTAATTGAATAATTGACATAAAAGATGGAAATACAGGATTACTCACTTCCTGTACTGTAACGTGTTGCACACAATTAATATCAGTTATTAAGTTGATGATGTCTTGAGTGTTTTCTTTGGTATTTGAGGTTATTAATCATGCTATTATGCTTGCGTTCGTGCACTTAATGCCCATCATAAAAAATTAGTACAACACTTTCCTCAGTAAGCTTGATCCTATTTCATAGGTTAACTCAAGAAAATTTTATCAACAAATTCCTAACCAGTTCTCCAAATACAAACGCTAGATTCTTATTTATTTCCTTACCAAATATACAAAGAAGCCATATAATATAAGAAAATTTACCAATGAGATATCTGATTACAGTAGTGAAGCAATTCTACACAAGTTTTAGTAGATTGCCATATTGATTGCACTACGCATTTCTTAATGCTTCAACCAAATACAGATACAGGTCAGACTATTTACAGGAGCTAAAACAGCAATCGGAATCACCCATCCCTGAATATGGAAATTCAACCATTTAATCAGAAAGTTTAAAAACCTTAAAGATTTCCCCATTTTTTGTTTTTTTCCCTCAAGAATCTTGAAAATAATGAGTAAATACCAGCAACAAATATAAAAATTGCCGAGCTTTTTCGTAGTTGGACATTCTTTTTCTTGCTCATTTGTTTGTAAATGTAAAGTTCAACAATAACTTGTTAGGTAGGTCTAGCCATCAAGTGAGTAATCTGCTACTAGAAACAGAAGTTTTAAACCAAAGTAGAGGGTGTATTGCAAAGAATGTTTTGAGTATTTTTATGTCATAAGGAAATAAAAAGAATTCATTACCTCAGGCTTTAAGTCACGGTGAACAACCCCTTGAAGATGACAGTATGATGTCACGCTTAGAAGCTGCACCATGACAGCTTTGGCATCTTCTTCAGAGTATTTCCCACCCCTTCAAAAGAAATCGGAAGTCAGGATGTTTACATAGGAGAATAACAAGCATACAAAGCTGAAAATGTATTAAGTACGCACCTTGCAAGTATCCGGTCCAGTAATTCTCCTCCTTTACATAACCTGAAGAAGATTTCACAAAGATAAGTATACAAAAATGGGTAAAACATAAAAGCCAGAATTGATGAACTATAATAGATATCTCTCCTGGTTTGGCAAACAATTATAAAAACATTGGAAATATGAATCAGGATGATTCTTTATGTATCTTAATCTACTACTCTGATATTAAACTAGCTTGACAATAGAAAACTCACATCAGCCATGAAGATTGTTGGCATTAAATCATTTGCACATCTAAAAAAGATTTAGCAGTCGATGAATGACAACCATTTATTTTAGTTTTGCCAACATTAATGATTCAAGCCAATGCAAACATTTGGAAGGACATAGACCAAACTAAAACATTTTTTTTATGTGTAATCTACAAATCTCCATCATGTAATTAAGTTGCCTAATAGAAAACAAAAGATCATATTTCTTTTCCTATCAGAATGCTGAAGTATTAACATTGACATGTTACCCTGAAAGGTGGTCTACACATTCTGAATTCAACATAAACATCAAGCAAAAACAGCATTAAGATTGACTAATTTAACTTACTCCATGACTATATAAACATTTTCCTCGTCCTCATAGGCATCATAGAATTGAACCAGATTCCTATGTCCTGTTAAAGCACGCAATATTTTGACTTCTCTCCTTACGTCCTCAATTGCAATTGCTGTGGTCATCTGCAAAAGATTCCTCAGTCTCATTAAAAAGAAAGAATGAATACAATAAGGTTCAATACTGCTTTTGGCGTGCAAATAACAGGATAACATCATGTAAAACACAGTTGACAAGAAAATGATTGGAATCATCTTCCACCTAATGCTTTGCTTCAACTTTTATATGTAAAAATAGACAAAACCCGCAAAATTTTCAGATACTAGAACATCATCTAGCTATTAGTCAACCTTTTCTTTTCTTGATAGGTAACAAACTATACGACATAAAATCCTATTTGGCCAAGGTCAATTTCTCATAAACGTAATAATGGAAGTTCCAACAAATCTATCTAGCCCACTTGCCATCCTTCTCAACCATTTCTGGAACCAACACTTGTCAAAACAATGAGAACATCCGGCTATTACTATATCTCTGCAAAAAGACCGTAGCTCATTCAAAGTCACCAAACACTTTGCACCTCAAAGCACTTACAATTGATGACATCTCGACCAGTTAATATTACAATCAGCAGCAATGACAAATGAAGACTTCAACAAGATTTAGCAATCAAACAGAATATAGAAACAAAACTCTCACAATACTTTCTTTAATAGGGAAAACAGCATAAAAGGGCAAACCTTTGATTTTGGGATAACTTTAACAGCCACATCATGCCCTTTCAAACTCCCTTTTTTCCCCTTAGCTGCAGAAGTATAACCAAAATGGCCTCTTCCGACTTCTTCTCCAAGCTCATAGTGGCTTAAGAAATTCTTTGAGTATCCAAAATTCTTATCCAAACCAATATCACACTCACTCCCCTCAGGAATTGTAGCTTCATTAGGTTTAATTGAGCCATGCCTCCTAGCAAGCAATGCCCTTATATGCTTAGCTGGTGATGGTGGTGGAAATGGGCGTTTGAGAAATCTCAAAGGGGTTGAAGTTACACTAGAATTGGAAGCTGGGGAATTCTTGAATCCACTAGGCAAAGGACTTGGGCTGTAAAAAGGAAATTTTGGTGTTTTCCCAGTGTGGGAACTCAATTCAGTCTCATTATCAATGGGAATTATGGGATTTTCAGACAAGTTTTGTGGGGGTTCAATGGGTTTTCCATGACAAAGTCCCATGGAATCAAGAACACAATTTAGATAGGATCAACAGAATTCAATTAATCAAAAGGAAAAAAACAGAAGAAGTAAAGTTAAAAACTTTATACCAAGAACTAACAGGGAAATACTGAGAATTAAACCATTACAAGGAGAAAAAGAAACAAGAGCAAATTCTCAAGAGTTTTGAGCTCAAACAAATAGAATACAAACTACAAATAACCAAACAAATGAAAAAAAAGGGAATTCTCAGACACCCAACAATTGAAGAAGTAAGAAAGTCACAATCTTGGAACTGAAAAACAAGAAAAAGTGGGATTTTTAAGCTTAGAACAGCAGAACCAAGAAGGGATCAACAAAGATTTTGAGCAAAGGTATTTAAGGTCCAAGAACAATTCCTAGGGAAAAGAGAAAATCCCAATAAGAAAAGGAATTAGACTTTGTGATCAAATGATCAATGCCAGAGAGACAAAGCTCAACAAGAATCAAAGATTTTACTAACAGGTTACAGCTGAAGAAATGGAAAGAAATAAGAGGGAAGTATGGAATCAAAGTATCAAATTAAAGCAAGAGAACCTAAGGGAAAATACTTTTTTTTTTAACCAAGAGGAAGGTAAAGAATGAACAAGAATGATAGAGGAGCTAAAAAGTGAGAAAAAAAGATGCTTAGCAGAAGCAGGAAGAAAATAAAGGTGAAGGGGAAAAGGAAAGGAAAGAAGCTAATCTCCTTTGGTTGTCTGATTTCTCAACTTTTTCTTTAGTATATTATTTCTTTTTCTTTTATAAAAAATTATGGTGTTGGGAGTTAGAACTAATTTCTAATTATTCCAATTCATGTGAACCTGTTTAACTGAGTCCGAAGATTAAAAAAATGAATTACTTTTAGAATTTATGGTCTAAACAAGTCAAAAAGGGATCCAGAGTATTTGTGTGGTTCTAAAAATTTCTCATATCAAGGGTAGAATTGTAAGTTTAAGTTAAATTGTTTTCAAATTTGGAAAGAGATCGTTTTTTTTAACGGACTAAAAAGGAAATAGATTTAGGAACAGAGAGTAATATTTAGTAGACGGAAGAGAAGAAATTACCTCGTATTTTTGCTTAAACATGAAATTCATCATTTCAACTCACCTCTTTGGCTTCTTTTAGTATTGTTGTTTTCCTTTTTTTTTAATTGTGGGTGTTTTTTCTTTTTGGATTTTCTTTCATTTGCTTTGAATGAAAATATTATTAATTGTTAATAATGTAAGTGGGGTTTGAGGTTTGGATCCTTCCAGCCTGTCTTTATTTTGAGAGAGAGAGAGAGAGAAGCATTTGTGTTTTGTTATGTGAACATTTGTGAACAACTATGCTAACCAATATATTGCCTGTAAAGGTTGAGGTTTGACTTGTACTATCTGGCTTTTGTTGAACTTTGAAATTTTGCTGTATTTGTTGTAGTATTACCTCTTAATTCTGTTTTCACAATAGAACTCTCTAATTTTTAATTTGACTTCTTAAAAGAGAAAAGAATGGTATCATAAACTTCTGCTCTTGAATTACTATCTTTAAATATTTTTATTTGCCAATGGAAAATACTAACCTTTTTTAGCAGTCACAAAACAGAAGAAATTTCGCTGTATGATTATTCTGTAAAATAGCATTTTCTGCTACATCTTTTTTTTTTTTTTTTTTTTTAATT